ATTACTATTTTTTATTCGCCTATTCGGCATTTTACACTGCAGTTTTTTTTAAATTATTTTATTAACGTAAAAACTTTTATCACGTTTTTCCATTATTGGCTTTAATTTTGTGTTTTTAATGTTTGTCTGATTCTGAAGCGTTCGTCACTGATGGGCTGACCTGGCAAAACAAGTAACAACTGTATATTTTATGGCAAGTATTCGTATCCATTAGACGTATAATTATTTAATATTGTGAAGATTAGAAAACGATATTTCGAAGTTTTAAGCATCTTTATAGAATTAGTGGAGTACAATGATATAATACGCCAGCCGTAAACTAGCCGACTGTTATCAGGCTGGTGCGACTCGCGTGACTGAACAACAGGATGTGGTCGGCTTGCAGCAAGATTATGTGTAGATTTTTTGATCACAATACGCCTGGCACCGGCCGCGCGATTAACAACCATTTCCATGTAAATATACAATGTTTTATTTTATCACAGATGCGTGTATTAAATTTTGTGTATAATTTTATTAGGTTTGAAACATTATTCTTTCATTTATCGTATGTGCAGGTAAGGAAATCCAAACGCTACACAGATTTGATTTTTATTTTCGTATTTCCATTTTTGGATTTAATTCCTGTTTTCCCAGAGTGACATCAACCAAAATTTAACTTAGTTTTTATTAAGATAATGTATATAATTATTTGTTTCCCATTTATAACTTGTTGAATCACTATTTAGTATTTGTCTATTTGGCATTTTCCACTGTCGCATTTTTTTCCAATTTTTGATTTAATTTTGTGTTTTTAATGTTTGTTGGATTCTGAAGCATTCTTCTTTTAGGACAAGTTTTCTTGTCCATTAGACGTTTAATTATTTAGTATTGTGAAGATTAAAACACGATATTTCTATGTTTTAAACTTCTTTGTAATTATACCATGTTTTATTTTATCACAAATGTGTGTATTAAATTTTATGTAAAATTTTATTAGGTTTGAAACATGATTCTTTCTTTTAACGTATGTGCAGCTAAGAAGGCCTAAACGCTTCAGATTTGAATTTTATTTTCGTATTTCCATTTGTAGATTTAATTTTGTGTTTCGTTATAAATTTTGCAATTTTCTTGTTTTGCCAGAGTGCGATTCTCATCAGTCAAAATTAAACTAGTTTTTATTAAGTTATCGTAATCACTCAGTATACATTAACACTTTTATCACGTTTTTTCCATTTTTGGATTTAATTTTGTGTTTTTAATGTTTGTCTGATTCTGATGCGTTCGTTTTTAGGGCGTGATGTGCACTTCAGATTACATCAATGTTTTGAAGATATAATTGTTTTGTTTTTCAGAAGTGTAAGTGTGGGCAATGGGAGTCATGCGACTCCCATTGAACATTTCTGTCGTTAGTGCAATTTTCTAGATTTGACAGAGTGACTTTATTATCAGCCTAAATTGAACTAGTGTTTCATAAGTTAACGTATTCACCCAGTATACGATTATTTGTTTCCCTTTTATAGCGTATTGTATTGCTATTTTTTATTCATCTATTTGGTATTTTCACTGTAGTTTTTTTAAAATTATTTTATTAATGTAAACACTTTTTTCACATTTTCCATTTTTGGATTTAATTTTATGTTTTTAATATTTGTCTGATTCAGAAGGGTTCGTTTTCTTGTCCATTGGACGTTTAATTATTTAGTTATGGGTAGATCAGAACACATTTCGAAGTTTTAAGCATATTTGTACAATTATCGGAGCACAATAATATAATACGCACGCCGTAAACTAGCCGGTTGTTAACAGCTTGGTGAGACGTGCGCGACTGAACAGAATTGGGTGTCGTCGGCTAGCAGTTAGATTATGTGTAGGTTTTTTTGATCGGCTACTTCCGACAATACGCCAGGCACCGAACGCGCGATTTAACAACGTTTAGCCACGTGATGCTTCAGCATAGCGCATGTTTTGACGCGTGACCGGACATTTGCCCCAGACGATCGCTCACAGGACAACTGCTCACAGACAACTGCCCATAGTCATAACTGCGCACACGGACAATTGCGCACATGCACAATTGCTCACAGGATTTTTGCTAACACGGACAATTGCGCACATGGACAATTGCTCACTATTTAATTTTTTTTATATTTACTAAAAAATAATGAATAATAATTATCAAATAATTTATATACAAATATATAACAATTAAGAGGCCTCGCTAGCACGCTAATAGTGTTTCATTTTTCAAATAAACTATTTGTTCATTCTATCTTAATTAATTAGCAATAAATATAACTCTTTGAAGTTTCACTTCTAGTATACTCACACATAATTTTTAATAATTACATAATTAAAGAACTAATATATGAATAATTGTAAATTAGCCAATCTTCTTAAATATTGCATTATTATTCATTGTTGCTTAATAAATATAAAAAAATTAAATTGTGGGCAATTGTCCGTGTGCGCAATTGTCCGTGAGAGAAAAAGTCCTGTGAGCAATTGTCCGTGTGCGTAGTTATGACTGTGGGCAGTTGTCTGTGAGCGATCGTCTTGTGGGCAAATGTCCGGGAACCACCGAAGATACCTATGTAGCAGGCAAAGGGTGTCTGCACGGCACAGGTTACGAACTAGTTCTAGGATATGTAGCGGAGTACAGTTTAAGAACTAGATCGAGGATATGTAGCCGGCAGAGTGAACTCGCACAGTACAGTTTACGATCTAACTTTATTTTTACAAAACGTACAGGGCGGAAGGTCCGACGGTCCAGCGATGGTGCCGAGCGCTCGATGCGTGTTTACCCAGTATATCTACTGTTTCACATTCTTAGTCAAACAATATTAAAAAGTATACCTAAATGAAATTAATTATTTCTAAATTATAATTAATTTATTATTTTTGAATAATATTTAGGAGGGTTTCCAAGAAATTGTGATGATTTAAAGGGTTTAGGGTAGTTTATAGTGGTGAGTTTAGGACTAAAGTCAGTTAGCTTAGGTTTTAGCTTTAGCTTAGGTCGCTTGAGTGACCTGAAGACCGAAGTATTGCATATTCTTTAATAAATCTAAGGAAATTTGATTTATTCTAATAGTTAATTAAACATTCCTAAAAATCCCTAAAATAAAATAAAAATACAATAAAAGTATACAGTCATACAAACTTCACTCACTAAAAGGAATGCGTTTTTTATTGTTAACTTATATTAGTTCCTACGCAACTAATCAAGCACGCACCACCTGAATTGTATGAGATGATAGCGAAACTTTACACAAAATTGACGAACGGGGAAGCCGTGCCAGACGAAGTAAAATCTGCATACATTACACCCATATTCAAAAAAGGAGAAAGAAGAGATTGCAATAATTATCGCGCTATCTCAGTAAGTGGTACTCTAAGTAGGCTCTACAACTCTACACGAAAGTCCTCACAAACATTGTCGCTGATGAATACTCCCCCAAAGAACCAAAAGAACAAGCGGGTTTTAGAGCTGGTAGATCTTGCAACGATCACGTCTAAATTAAATTAAGGAATCAATTATGCGATACCATAAAACTGTCAAAGGGCCAGTGGCAGGGCTGCTGTTTGTCACCAATACTCTTCAGGCTGTTCATAGAGAAAGCCCTCAACACATGGAAAAAGTAGTGCAACACCATGGGATTCCCACTGGATGATAGAACACTGTACACTTTACAGTTCGATGACCAAGTCATAGTCGCACAGAGTAAAGAAGATGCGGAGTATATGACAAGGAAACTCATTGAAGAGTACAAACACTGGGGGCATGAACTGAATGTGTGTAAGACGAAGTACATGTGTGTGGGCGGAGAACTGGATGATTTGATCTTAGAAAACTCCATGGTAACAAAATGATGTGAAGAGTACACATACCTAGGCCATCTCATAACCATGGATGGGAAAGAAACCACGAACATAAGACATAGAATCAACCAGGCTATGAAAATCGTAGAAATGCTAAATGGGATTTGGTGGTCAACACATGTGTCAAAAGGAAGAAAACTAAGAATCTATAACACCCTGGTGCAGACAGTACTTACGTATGGTGCTGAAATATAGACAATCAATGAATCTGACAAAACAAAATTGAACACCCTAGATGTGCAAGAAGATCGTTCGGCAAGAAGATCACGCCTTGAGCATATAAGAAACGAGGAAATCCACGCTATAATGAAAGCCACGTACACAATAAAAGATGCGATAAGAACACAGCAGTTAATTTGGCATGGCCATGTACAAAGAATGTAGGATCATAGGCTGCCAAAGCTGATCACAAAGTGGATTCCAGAGGGAAAAAGGAAGAGGGGCCGCCCACGAACAACATGGAAAGATGACATCGGCACAGCGATGCGAGAACGAAGCCTAACGGAAGGGGACTGGAACGACCGAGAAATATAGAGAACACTGGCCAGAAAGCGTCGTCAGACGTTATAAACCGAAACAAAAAACTTATGAAAAGTTCAAGAAGTATGACAAACTAGTAGAAGGGTAAGTTGATAAATACTGTCGAAAGTCAATAATACGTGCAAGAAATCCGAAATATACCTGTGGGTATAATAGTTAATTGCGTAACGTTGCAAATCAACTTGTTAATTTATTTCATAATTGTAATTTACTGGTAATATAAACAAACTCCGGTATTTTAAAATCCAATTTAAATCTACTGTTAGATAAATTTCTATCTATTAAAGAATATTGGTACATAGTATTGAATTAAAATAAAATAAAATATTATTTATTATTAGAACTAAATCAGTATTTTTCTCTTGGATCAAAACATTTACTGATGTGATGTAAAAACATTTACTTTAAAAAAAATTTACAAGCAATCACTAATTAAAGCATTACCTTGTGTTCAGGATTATCTTCAGCTAAGGGAGCGGTAAAGAGTACGGCACGTACCTTCACACAATTAAAATGTCAGAAAAGTACCACCCTTGTAACTGACACTTAAAATAAACCCGACCCTGTCTATATCAATCACGCCGCGAACGTCCTGTATATGTCACTTGATGTTGTTCGTGTGATGAGGGTTTCGTGTTCGTGAGTATGGTGTATGGGCTTTGTTGGTGAATGCATCATTTGCAGGTTAGGCGCAATACTTTCGAAAGTCTATAATACGTGCAAGAAATCCGAAATATACCTGTGGGTATAATAGTTAATTGCATAACGTTGCAAATCAACTTGTTAATTTATTTCATAATTGTAATTTACTGGTAATATAAACAAACTCAGGTATTTTAAAATCCAATTTAAATCTACTGTTAGATAAATTTCTATCTATTAAAGAATATTGGTACATAGTATTGAATTAAAATAAAATAAAATATTATTTATTATTAGAACCAAATCAGTATTTTTTCTCTTGGATCAAAACATTTACTGATGTGATGTAAAAACATTTACTTTAAAAAAAATTTACAAGCAATCACTAATTAAAGCATTACCTTGTGTTCAGGATTATCTTCAGCTAAGGGAGCGGTAAAGAGTACGGCACGTACCTTCACACAATTAAAATGTCAGAAAAGTACCACCCTTGTAACTGACACTTAAAATAAACCCGACCCTGTCTATATCAATCACGCCGCGAACGTCCTGCAAATTTGAAATACACATATCCATACACATATGCATTTAATAACAAGCTAAGTAAAGTAAACACTTACTGTACGCCTTTATCTGATATAAAAGAATTATAAAAGTATTATTATATATTTATATACATTTATCACATGTCACACTCAGGTCTATATAATTCAATCTGTAAATTATACTAAACTGCGGTTCGAAGAATTGAAAGCTAGAATTTTTCGTGATTTAACCAATCAGCGCTAAATTTTGGGTCATATATGTAATGATCCATTCATTTATTGCTGAATTTATATAAATTTGGAAAATGAAGTTTTCAGGAATAGAACTTATTGTAAACTTTAGATATGTTGTTTGTATACTTTTAGGTTATGAACATGCAAATGGCCTCTAGGGAAATGTGTAATGAAAAGAACGTTGGAAGCGATAGAAGTTTTCGTGGTTGTCAGGAAGAATAATAACTAAAAAGTCATCGAACCATTCGCACAGTGAAAACACCATACACTACATAACATAATTGTTTGGAAATTTGACATATTTTGATTGTCATACAGTTTCCCCAAGGCCCATAGACACTTTGAGAAATTAATAATTCTGCTTGAAGTACATGCACAAAACCCGACCATACTGAATATACCAAATGGGATCAACAGTGAAGTACACTTGATGCTTGATTCATTACATTTCAAGTGTAACAATCAAATTTTTAGAACCACTTCAAAAGGTATTCCAGAGTGTAATGTAAGTATGGAGTATACAAAAGAAGTAACGACAAATGATATCCAAGACATGCAAGGTAATGTGATGTCACCATCAATGACAGCAGCTAATAGTGTGTCCAATGGTGGTACCAAAGCTCCAGTATAATTCAGTGGACATAACAAAAAGAGTTTCACATCAGTTCAAGGTTTGCTAGAAAATCTGATTATTATCATCATCTTATAGTTAAGACTCTAACAATTTGCAGACTTGAACTAGGGAGAACTGTTTCCATGACACACTGTTTGGTCTTTTGAAGCTATGGGTTCGTTATTGAGATGATGGATCCAAAGATGGATGCAGGCATGCTATGCAACAGGGGTAACAAGAAAGCTAACTCTTTGATCAATCAATTCAGTAAGTGAATATAGCAAACCTGAATGGCAATATCTTTAAACATTGTTATAGGGATGGAAGTTTATTGTTATGGGGCATAAGTAATCTTCAGGACTTTAAATTTCGAATAATTGATACAACTTCAGTACGTATGGTAATGTTGGCTGGAAGGACATTCATTACTCAAACAGTTTTACTAATTTGTACCTGCACAACCATACCTCATTGAGGACCGTGACTCTTGCTGTATTTGTATTGCCATATATAAGCTACTGATATTATAAAGGTCATATTCAGAAGTAAGTCTAACTTAACGGATCAATTTTATATAAATGTATATTTTTATGCACAGAGCTATGGTTTGCGAAGAAGAAGATTTCAAGGTACGCAGTACGGATATTATCGTGAACCTGATGTCAGTGAACAGCGTGTAGTTGAAATATGCCGTACGAAGTCGAAGAAGAACCCGACAAGGAAGCCCGTGCGTTACATTCGAACGGTGCGCAACCATGGAGGTACAGGCAGAAGAAATAGTATGATATATTCACGTATAAAATTCGTACGTGCTATATCAAACACTACTATTGTTTGTTCATAAACGCGACGAACATTTGTCAGTAACACCCGAAGTACAGAAGCACCTCAAGGCTAAATTAAAATTGCATCGGATTTGATCTTTTGTGATGATTAAACGACTCACATGGGAACACAAGCATTGTGTAAGTGTAATAAATCTGATTCATATGTTATGAAAAATTATATATTTTAGCTGAAATTCTCCAATAATTACTCTTGAAACCACTTATGAAATCAACGGTTGTTACCGCCTACGTTTCCAGCGCTACACGAAAATCAAACCCAGATACGACGCTCTAGTTTACTTCGAGAATATGATTGAACGTTTTAAAAGTTCTCTCAAATATCAACATGGTGACCGCCTAATCAAGCCTTTCTTACTCTTTCTCTCATCGAACACCCAGCAAAACATCGCCCTGTATTTTGTCACGATCTGCTCTGCAATTATTATACGTGGGCAGCTATAGTGTTACAGCAAATACAAATGTCAACGTCCCAAGGATATATTGAAAGACGCCGCGAAGCAATTCATCTCGCCGCCAGCACTTTACGACAAAATCAATGTTATACAAACCAACAAGCACGCCCGTACGTCGACACATTTTCTCACGCATTTCAGGCGCGCATTTGCTAGTTTCCCTGTAACTGTGCGGGCAATAACCGCGCGAGACAGCGTGACAAACTGGCGCACTTGTTAGAAGAGTTCACTAGCTTTTTACAGGATGAAGCGGAAACGTGTGCGGATGCATATCTTCACCCTGCCAAGTAATGCAACCTAGTCTCGACCACACCTTTGCCTGTTTCGGCACGTGATCTATATCACACCTTACGGATTATGATTGTATCTGCTCAGTGGATTTGGAGTTGGAATGGTAGCGTCCACGAATATTACCATATTGGTGGTATTTGTATGAGTTCTTATATGGATGGCTGGTAATCTGCGCTTGACTAGAGCAGATGAAGCTCTTCTCTGGGCCGAGCAGGAATTTCGGGTTTCACCGAACTACAAAAGAACAAAGGCTCTTGGCAAGAAAAAGACTAAATTAAACAAAAAAACGGTCACGACCATATTTAAAGAGTCAGTTTATTATCAAGCGCCGCAGAATATGTGCGGCGGATATTACAAGGCTCTTATGGTATCCCGAATGGATGGGAAACTACAAACGCCAAATCCCTGAATTTTGACAACGAACGTACGATAAGGATCAATGGTTTCCAGTTCTATTTCAAAAATTTGTTAGCCCGCCGCCCACACCATCCGGAATTTCCCCTGAATTAATATCGGCTGCTCGTTTCATCCCGCAACAACAGCCCATCGACAGCCTTGCGTTGTATACAACTGGATATAAACATCTTTACCAGGCGCCAGTTGCTCGAGAGCATCTCAAACCCAGCTGATGAAATAATCGAGCTGGGATACGGATTTCTGAAAACTAATTTCGTCGTGCTGAAGTATTAGGTGGTGGACACAAGAAAGAGTCTACTACACCGCCGGAATTTGACTTTTCGACAAATCGACACTTTCCGCCAAAACTATGTTGATCGAAATCGTTGGTGCAGCAGACACTTCAGTACACCTATTTTCTCTACGGTGTGCTGACAATTGCGCCGAGATTTAAGCATTGTGAAACTTTTTTCGCGACTCCGCCAAAATACGCCTCTCCCTTTGTCGCTCGGTCTCGTTTTACTTGGCGTTATCAGCGACATCTTTTCTTTTCCACCACACGTGGCAAACCATGCGGCAATCGTAAAGATACTTAAAAGTAGCGAGGTCCAATTCATTCACAGGTATCTCAAAAGTGTTCTGTGATTTCTTTTCTCTTTGCTTCTCTTGCAGATTCCGACGGTGCGACCTTATTGGATTTCAAGTGTGGCACCAGCAGCCGGATTAGATTCTGCAATGCCGAATTGATTTGTGCTTTGCATGCGTAGCGAGTTAGAGAATTAAATGTAACGTACCGGTCCGTATTGAGGAACGCCTGCAGTGTGTGAATAAAAGCTGCTGAAGCTCCCTTGGAATGCCGATGTATGAGCAACATGCGGAAATAGGTTCTAAAATCGTCTGACAGGAAGTAAAATTCTTGTGGACCGGTTGTAACCCAGATTGTGGGAGAATACCGAGAATTCAAATAATCTCAATAAAGTAAATTTGGGAAACCAAATTATAATTAGGTGCTCCCTTGGAATACTATTTTTTACTTTGCATTTTTCATCCAGTTTTTGCAGCTCAAATAGTCTACTAGCTGTACCCAAACGTAATTCGAAACGTTCAACATTTGTTTCTACACCTGCATCATTTCTTGACTCTAGTCCTACTATTTGTGTTAGATTTTCTAATTCGTTAACTTGCAGGCGACCAGTAACTTCATTGGCTGCATCTAAAATTGTTGAGATGAATGGTACAGAGTATAGGCATGTCAAATTATACTAACTGCCGAATCTAAACGTCCAGGTGAACAGGAATCCGTTGCAGGAATTGTAAAAGTTACGTAGATCTTCAGGTAGAAGAATGCTTTGTTTCTGTTCCCATGCACAGATTTCCGAATGCGAAGCTGGTAGCTTCCGCGATAAATGACGGGATATTATGCCGAGCTTTTTAAACTTATCTTAAATAAGAAATTAATCATATTAGGTATCTTATTTGTACTATTTCTTACCTAACTGCTGAGGCAATCCAGCTAAGACATTAACAAAGAATGAGTCTCTGATACTTTATCTTACCACAAAATCCATTTTGTTTAGACTCTCATGAATTCACCTAAAATATTGATAAATCGATAAATTGCGGTAAACTATGACAACGCAGAGGGTAAGCATGCTAAAAGACAAGTAGGTAATTTCCAGGCCTTTATCACTGCCCTAAATTGATAATCAATTTACATTTGTATTCCGTATAGAATGAATTATACCTCTAGTATTAAAATCTAGCTTAATTAAAAAATTGATTTTGTCGTAGAGGGTGGCGGTATGAAATGTATTGCTTTATGGCGTCTATCAATATATCTTTGAGGACATTCCCGTTTATATTTTGTTCTTATAATTTAATAATATCTATAGCCGCTCTTCACGTACAATAGTTGTAGATGGACAGAGACTAAAATACAGGGCGATATTTAGCTACTGAATTAGATAAAAATCCAAGGCTTCATTAAGTGCAGTCATCATGTTGATATTGAGAGAACTTTAAAACGTTTCTGAAGCGAAGCTGAGAGACCGTAAGTCGCAAAACCAGTAAATCCCTTACCACATTAAAATGCGAAAGTCCTGATGTTTATTATAATTTTCTACGCAAAACTACTTCTAACAGATCATCATGAAAAATTTGTACACATATTCTTAGGTGGTCCCCGAATAGTTATAGGCTACCTTTTTTAATAAAAATTTTTGTTAAATAAAATAAACATATTTTTAAGATTTTAAAACTTTTACGTATGTATAATTTTTTCACATAGCTAATATTAGCCAAGCAATGAAATATATATTCTTTCTATCAATCCGTTTCAACTATGTATAATGATTTCTAATATTTATTTGATGGATTCAACGCGAGCGAAGCCGCGGGTTAAAGCTAGTTTCAGATAAATCTTTAATAAAGAACCATATATGTAACATATCAAAGATATTATTTTTTCGATTACTCTTCTTCAAAGACAATTTAAAATCAAAACAAGAAATAATAAATACTCATTATTACATTTTTTTTAAATGTCAGTAAAGAACCAAAATTGGAATAATAAGTATTAATTTGTGTAATTAATGAACACATAGATTTGAAACTCGCGCGCCCCGCACGCGCGCGTACAGTGGGCAATGTTGTCGATGTTGAGAACTTGCAGCCAGTGCAGGCGCGCGTACGTTGCTAGGGAGCTAAAGAAGCGGAGAAATAGGATACAGGGCAAGTCGGATGATTTTACAAGAAAAAATTCTGAAGGCGTCGCCAAATAGGCAGAGCGTTTAGCCCGCTGAGCTGCGCGCAAAATAGGCTCACCAAAATGCACGCTGTACCTTTTGGCTGGATACGAACAACTTTACTTTCAGGCTGCGACCGATTCATGGAAGGCATACAAATACGGTGGGACGATCTAGACGGCATGCGCACCACTACGAAGGAAAGTTCTTGAACACCCTGCAACATACAGCGGGCGAGGAAGTGCCCGTTCAAATTAAAAGCGTCGCGTTT